AATCTGCTTCTTAAAAGAGCAGTGTAAAAATGTTTTAGTTTTGTTCAGAATAAAATCAGAGCATCTCATGGAGTTAGTCATGTGCTTTTCTGTCATTCCTATCCCATACCAGGTTCATCGTTGGGTCAATTACGAATCCATGCTGAAAGAATGCCTGGTCGGCAGGATGGCGGTGAAACCTGCTGTTCCCAAAGGTACGTGGTGCCAGTGCTGAGGTGGCATTGATATGTGACACACATGTACTTTTTTTAACTTGGATTTCAACAAATAGATTTAAATAAGTCACTATATTGTTCTTATTTTCACGGCTGCTATAAAGGTTTTACTTTAGTTCTTCTTTAGAATAAAACAATGACTAACCTTTCCTCTGTAGTCAGGGGTTATTCATCATTGATCTCTACTGGCCTGACACTTATGGACAGAGACTATTATTTGATGGGTTAACTGTGTAACTGTCCAAACTGGGGCAGGTTTGATTCTGTTAGTAATTATGCTGGGATAACATGGTAAATTGACTCTGACAGCCGAGGGCATGTTTTCACTCTATCTATAATCAGAACTCCTGGATGCAATAAGAACAGAAGATGAAAACAGAGATGAAGTGAGACTAGAGGATGAAAATAGATTAAGTAGAAAGAGAGAATGAAAACATGAAGTGGGAACAGAGAGTGAAAAGAGATAAAGTGGGAATAGTAGGTGGAAAGAAACTTGCTGAGATGAGGATTTGTGGAGGTGAGGTGGGGGTGGGGAGACGGTGGATATACTGAAGAGGAATTTTATATATGGACTTCTCTCAATACCAGACCCCTGACACCATGTGGCTATCTAGCACTCAAAATATGCTTGTCCATATTGAGATGTGCTGAAAGTATAAAGTATACACTGCATTTTGAGACTTTAAATATGAAAAAAGTGTAAAATATCTCATAATTTTTACATTGATTTTTTAGACTTTAAATATGAAAAAAGTGTAAAATATCTCATAATTTTTATATTGATTACATGTTGAAATGATAATATTCTAGATATAGTATATTAAGTAAAGATATATTATTAAAATTAATTTAACCCATTTATTTTTACGTTGCTCATGTTGCTGTTAGACAATTAGAAATTATACTGTGGCTTGCATCGTACAGTGCCATTCTAGATCATAAATGTACTTTTAAAAAATTCACCATAAGCCACATTTCTAAAATCTCATATTTTCCAGTGGCATAGTATGGTCTCAGGAATGTTCTTTAATTTCTCATTGCTTTATCATGATTTCTAATACTTTATGTTTTAGTTTTCACCCCACTCTCACGCAGTTAATGACTATAAGTCACTTAGAACCATGGATCCAGAGAATAGTTAAGAGGTGGAAGAGGGGCTTAGAGCTGCTCTAACACCCTCAGTTTAAAAGTGAGGATGCTGAGGCTTGTTTGTATATGTACATTTCCAAAGGCTTTAGTTATTTAATTATCCATTTTTACATAGTCAGTTTTCTTTTTCATATGCCAGTGGTTTTTAACTGGGGTTGATTTTATTCTTGGGAGATATTATGTCTGGAGACGTTTTGGTTGCCACAACTAAGCTAAATGCTCCTGGCATTCTAGTGGTTAGAGGAGAGGTTCGGGATGCTGCTAAGTACCCTATAACGCACAGGATAGATCCCCACAATAAAGAATTATCCAGCCCCCAGTTTTTATAGTGTTGAAGTAGAGAAACCCTCATATATGAATTAGTTTTTTATCCTTAAAAAATTATAGTATTAGTGGCACATGTCTGTGAAGTTGGTATGGTATGTAAACAAGGCAGCATTGGATGGGCTGGAAGTTCAGCTTCTAAAGAGTCAGTGTTCTTTTTCCTAAGAGCATCAGTTTCCTCATTGGTAAAATGGGGACAGTTCAGGGCTCAGGTGGGTGGGCAAAACACAAGCTCAGAGGCTTATGTTGGGGGAAGCTAGACAGTTACTAGTGGAGGAAAAGGGGCAGGGTGTCATGATGAAATGGCCTTTATTGAATGAGCAAATTTGTTATCTCAGATTACCTTAATTTGCTTTTGCTACTAAAGAGTCTCTTTGTATTAGTTTAATCCTGGGATTTTTCAGAGTATGTATTTGAACTATTCAATTTCTATTGTAATTCTACTGGTAAACTGCTTCTAGGATAAGGAGTAATTCTGGGCCTTGAAGTTTCAGAGATGTATAACATTTACAGATGATTCAGAAGATGATTACAAAAATGAATAGAGGAAAGTAAAAGGTAAAGAGAGTTAAGAAATACAAAATTATGAAATTTTATAAGATCTGAGAAATGAGTTTAGAACTTTTGAAACAAAATCAAGAATTAGGTCTAAGTTGTGTTATGAGGACTTCCATTTAGAGATAATGGAAGAATGTCTAGAGAAAAAATGGTTGCTAAGCACATTGTAGAGAGCCAAGGAGTCTTCTGGCAAGGCTAAGCAGTGAAGGGAACACTATGGTATGTTTTGGACTTTGTGACTAAGATCTCTGGTAACAAGACTAAACTTATATCTGATGGTTTCATGATATCAACCTTTTTAGAGTCAGAAGAGAAGATGAGATATGTAGCTACATGATAAATGGAAAACATTCTGATATAAATGCTCAGTATATCTTCCTAAAATGTTTTTTTCAAGGTTTTTCTGAAAAATGTCTGTATAGTTTTAAAATGTAGCTAAATATTACTTCCTTAGTGGAGTCTTTCTAATTCCTTATAAGTACAGATGCCCACCCTCTGTAGAAGGTAGTATGTAGGCTCCCATACTACCTTCTACATACCTCTTTTACAGCATTTATCACATTGAATTAAGAAGAATATAATGACATTTTGTTTTTAGTTAGATTTACTTAATTTTTGAGTCAGTAGTGCATTCACACAATTCAAGAATGAGAGGTGCTCTTATCATACTTGTCTCCCCTCTACCCTTCTCTCCTTCTATGCACACACAAAGGTAACCATATTACTACTTTTATTGTGAATCCTTCCAAATTATTTTCATTCATGTATAGGTAAACTATCTATATATTTACATTGTCCTAACTTTTTATCCAAATAGTTTCTTATTATGTCAGCATCCCTGTTAAGATGATGACCAACAGGTATATGTTAACAGAATGAGCATACTGGCAAAGCAGGGGTTTTTTTCTTTTT